GGCGCGGGAGCCGCCCGCAGAGCCGCGGGGACGGCGGCATGGTCGTGGCGCTGTTTGGCTGGCCGTCTCGCGTGGGCGGGGCCCGCCCGATCGGCCCGGTGAGTGTCCCCGGGGAGGGTGGCCGGCAGATTGCCCAGGGCCAGGCTGTCTGCGCCCCGCCCTTTGCCTCGGCGCCCTGGGCAGAGTCCTGAGGAAGAAGGGGGCACTGGGGCAGCGAGTGTGCGCGTGTCCCTGTGTTGTGTGTGTTCTTGGGGGTCTGCGTATGTCCACTTGTGTGTCTGTACGGTGTCGATGTGGTTTCTACACGCTTACACTGGGGTGTGTTCGTCGATCTGTTAGCCTGCTTGTGTCAGTGTTTGCCTACTGTGTGTATTCCTGTGTGCGTGTGACTTTGACACTACCCAGCTACCTGTGTGTCTGCGTGTGCATGTATTTCTGAGGGGTTTTGTGTGTGTGTGTGTGTGTGTGTGTGTCAGCCTGCCTGTACATGTGTCTTTCTTGTGTGAGTGCGTAGTTTTAGGGTTGTGTGTATGACTGTGCTTGAGTATTTCCGAGGGTCTGCGTGTGGTTTTGAGAGCACGTCTCCGTCTGTCTCTGTCTTGCTGATGCCTGACTGTGTGCGTGACTTAGAGGGTATTGTAACAAGGGCTGGACAGCTCACGAGCCAGTGCGTGTGCAAGGAGGCTGCATGTACACTCAGGGAATAACTTGTGCAAGAGGAAAGCATAAGGGGCAAGATTGGTTGTCTGTACGCGCGTGTGAACACCTGTGTATCACTGTGGACGCACATTGCCATGACCCTAACTCGGGCACAGTTTACCCCCGACCCTTGCGTTTGTAGAGAGGCCGGCTGTAGACCCGCTACAACTGTCTAGTACTGCGGGCACTCTAGGTTGCCAAGGCAACGGCGGAAGCCCCGCCCATCCCTCCTGGGAGAGGTGCGGAGCGCCCCCGGCAGACCGCAAAGCAAGGTCCCACGCGGATGCTTCGTTGGTGGGAACCTGGGCAGTCGTCCGGCTGGAGACCTGCGTCGGAGGCTGTTCGTGGTCTGGAGGAAAAGATGAGCGCACTCTTCTTCCTTTGTTAGGCTCCTGGTTTTTCAGAAACACCAGAGGGGTTGCCACTGGGTCCCATGCACTGCTGGATCAGAAGACTGGTGGCGGGGATTGGGAAACAAACCCCCAAAACCGGGAGGGGTGGGCAGGGCCCAAGAAGGAACCCCAGCGTCTAGCTGGGCAGGCGTTCAGTTGGTTCTCAATAAAGATGTGTTTGCTAGGCTCAATAAAGATGAAGCAGGCGGGCTCATCCTAGGCCCAAGAATTGACCAGGACAGCCCCAGGTTGAGTCCACTGTATTATTTAAATTGCACAAGAGGCTAGGGAGGACAACCTCAAGAGTATCCCATTTTACTGACAACTGGCAAAGTGAAGACACATAGCCAGGAATTGGCAGAGTTTTTATTTTTTATTTTTGTTGAGTCAGAGTCTCACTCTGTCACCCAGGCTGGAGTGCAGTGGCATGCTCACAACCACCACAGCCTCAACCTGCTGGGCTTAGGTGATCCTCCTGCCTCAGCCTTCCAAGTAGCTGGAACCACAGGCATGTGCCACCACACCTGGATAAGTTTTTGATTTATTGTAGAGACGAGGTCTCGCCATGTTACTCAGGCTGGTCTCGAACCCCTGAGCTCAAACAATCCTCTTGCCTCGGCCTCTCAAAGTGCTGGGATTACAGGCATGAGCCATCAGGCCCAGCGTGGCAGAGTCTTAAAAACCAGGACTACTTACCCCGTTTGGGTCCTGGGTCCTGGTCTGTCCTCTGGACTGGCAAAGGCTCAGGACTAGAGAAGTCCATGAAACAGGTCATTTGGCATGAAGCTGTATGAGGGTGGAGGTGGGTGGTATTCATCTCTCCAACCTCCAAGCTGCCTGCGTCTTCATTTCTAGGTGTATCAGCATTTCTTCTATCATCAACATGATCTGTGAGCTTCTTTACAGCTGGAGTAAGCCATTAAATATAATGTGACGGTGAAACACACTGACTTTAGCAGTATTATATACAACGAGATTAAAAAGACCCATTTCCAAACATGCCCTCAGTGAGAGGTCCCTTTGCACATTGTCTTTCTCCTTCGATAGCCCTCAGCCCTAACCACTCTGTCCACCAGTTCATTCCTCACATCTCAGCCCTATGGTTTCCTCCTTGGCAAACCTAGTGTGGTCTGGTGGTCAGGAGCCTAGCCCTGGGCTCAAATCCCATTTCTCCCACTTGCTACTTCGCACTTTGGGCAAGATAATTTACCTCTCTGAGCCTCTGTTTCCTCGCCTGTAAGATACCTATAATCACATCTCCTCCCCAGTGTTCTTTGTGGAAAAGAAATTTGTATGGGAAGGGCCAAGCTCAGGGCCTGCTGCCAGAAGCACTTGATGAATCGACGCACTGGCTCAGTGATGATGATGGTCACTGAGCATGCTGTGTGCCCGGGACACCTCAGATGCACCTGCTCACACTGCGAGTATCTAAGCCTTTGCCCTGGCATGTGGAGCGATTGGGTGTAAACCCCCAGAACTTTGCCCAGAGCAAGGGAAGGGGCAAGGGCTGGAGCTCTTCCTCTTTTGGGTGGGGTTTTGCAACAGGGTCCGGGGGTCCTTGTGAGGGCTCAGCTTCAGCCTCTTTTCCCTCTCCTCTCCTCCCCCAGACTGTGGTACTGACCTCCATGAGCCGGTCCCAGGTAGCCCTGCTGGGTCTGGGTCTGCTACTCATACTACTGCTGTCTGTGGGGCTGCCTGGGCCCCCTGAGCAGACTTCCTGGCTCTGGGGAGACTCCAATGTCACAGTCATGGCTGGTCTTACCCCTGGCAACTCCCCCATCTTTTACCGCGAGGTGCTCCCGCTCCACCGGGCACGCAGGTGGGTGCTGACTTGAGAAGGGCCTAGTGGAGGGACTAGGCCCAAGGGGAGTCACTATGTGGGACCCTAGTTCAATCGAGGGTGCTCAAGGCCTGGGAAGGAAGTCCAGTGGGCCACCCCAGGTGCTCAGGATGTACGTTCCCCATATGCTCACAGGGCGCAGGTGGTGCTGCTCCACGGAAAGGCCTTTAGCTCCCACACGTGGGAGCAGCTGGGCACACTGCAACTGCTGTCGAAGAGGGGCTACCGGGCCGTGGCCCTTGACCTGCCAGGTGAGCTCCCCACTCCTGGGTCTAGGGAGGCAGGAAAATGCAGTAGGTACAAGGGGGCAGTTTTCCAGAAGAAGGAACTGGAGGAGCAGGGAAACCCAGGTGTGGGTGGGGGGGCATCAGGTCCCCAATGTCTGAACAAGCAGTGGCAGGTCACAACACAAGATGGCACTATGAAAAAAAAGTTTTTATTTTCTACAGTGAAAACTACAGTGTAAGTTGTATGTCATGGAGCAAATAGAAGCATGACTTCACAAGTGATCGCATGGGGGTGCCACTACTTTTCATGATAAACTATGTCACTTTTTGTGTTTTTAAATACACAAATGATTTGTGCTATCATTCTTGCCATAAAAAAAAAATTTTTTTTAAATAATGAAGCCCGGCTGGGCTCGGTGGCTCAGCCTGTAATCCTGTGCTTTGGGAGGCCGACGTGAGTAAATTGCCCAAGCCTGTGGGTTCGAGACCACCTGGGCAACTTGGCGAGACCTCATCTATACAATAAATTTAAAAAATTACCCAGGTGTGATAGCACACGCCTGTAGTACCAGTTACTTGGAAGGCTGAGGCGGAAGGATCACTGGAACCCAGCAAGTCGAGGCTGCAGTGGCTGGGAGCGGCCACTGCATTCCAGTCTGGGCGACAGAGTGAGACTCCAACTCAAAAAAAAAAAATAGTGAAGCCCTCAGAAACAGATGCCACATTTCTCTCCCTCTCTAAGCAGTTTGAGATGCCAGACCCTCTTCCCAGTTTGTTTTTGTACTTTAGAGATGAGGTCTCACTATATTGCCTAGGCTGGTCTCAAACTCCTGGGCTCAAGCAATCCTCCTGCTTTGGCCTCCCAAAGTGCTGGGGTTACAGGCATGGGTCACCACACCTGGCCAATTTTTATATATACATACACACACACACACACACACACACACACACACACACACACATACTATGCAGGGTGGTTTGGTGGGAGTTGCTAAGCTAAGCATGACTGGTGTCATGCCTGCTTAGCACATCCCTCTGCAGTCTGATTTTCTCCCCCTACACCATGCCTCATGGATAAGCAGTCCCTGCAAACTTCCCTCTCTGCAGTGTATACCATAGGAGGGATGGGCAGGTTTCATCCAACCATTTCTCTACTGGTGGATATGTAGGTTGATTTAGAGTTTTCAGTGTCCATTGAAATGTTCAAGTAATGTTGCTGAGGCATCTTTGGATGTGAGCATGTTGGCAATAATTTCTTTTTAATTAATGTTCTTTGAGCATGTTGGCAATAATTTCTCTAGAGCAGTTATCAAGAACAACACATTTTTAAATTTTGATAAATACTATCTCACCCTCCAAAAAGGCTCATCCTCCTATCAGTCATGTATGATAGTGCTCATTTCCCCATATAGTCCTCAACAGTAGGATTATTTCAGTCTTTTTAGTTCTGCTAACATGATAGATAAAAGATATGTTTTTCTAGAGGACTATCATGTTACAAAAAATAGCTTCTGAGAAGTTTGGAGATAGTATGTGGTGTATGCCGCTGGTCCCCATCTCTTTCCCCCACTGTGGTGGGCAGGAAGTCCTGGTCCCCTTCCCAGCCCCCTCAGCTGGTACCTGCTGCTGTTCCCAGGTTTTGGGAACTCAGCACCTTCGAAGATGGCAAGCACAGAGGCAGGGCGGGCAGAACTGCTGGAGCGGGTGCTGTGGGACCTGGAGGTCCAGAATGCCGTGTTGGTGAGCCCCTCACTGAGTGGTCACTACGCCCTGCCCTTCCTGATGCGAGGCCACCGCCAGCTACATGGATTTGTGCCCATCGCACCCACCTCCACCCAGAACTACACCCAGGAGCAATTTTGGGCAGTGAAGGTACTGAGAGAAGTTTCTTCAAAAGTCATAATGCCCTGTCCCTGGCTTGGGTATTGGGGGTTCAGGACCCAAGTCTTATTTGGAGAAACTTGGCCTTGTCCCTGATCTTGGATGGATGAGGTGGGGTGCTTGGGGAAGGCTTCCTAAGGAGGTAGTTTAGGGGTCAGATCTTCATCAGACCCCAGGGTCACAACCCCTTGCCTTGTCCTGCAGACCCCAACCCTTATCGTGTATGGAGAGCTGGACCGAATCCTGGCTCAAGAGTCACTGCGGCAGCTCTGCCACCTGCCCAACCACTCCGTAGTGAAGCTACGCAATGCGGGCCATGCCTGCTACCTCCACAAGCCACAAGACTTCCACCTTGCCCTTCTAGCCTTCCTTGACAATCTGCCTTGAACTAATCTGCTACCCAGGCCCCAGGTTTGGCCTGAACTTGGAGGGTATGGACCACCGCCCTCCCCGCCCCCGCCAGGAAGCAGCCCCTGGGATTGGAGGGCAGAGGTCAGAGTGTCAGACCCAGCCAGGATCTTTCATTTAATCTCACACATACAATAAAAAAACATATTTGTCTTTGTGGAGTGACAGGTCCTGTTTCCTGGTGTGCTTTGGGAGAGACAGGAGTGGGAGGCAAGTCCAGGACTGCTCTGAGGCTGGGAGCTGAAGAAGGTGCTCAGCAGTCTGAGAGGGTTAAGGGTGCGCCACTTCCTAGCTGTTTGTCCTCACCACTCTATGCTTCAGTCTTCTCAACTGTATAATGGGAATGTGGTAGCACCTAGCTTGGAGGGTGGTTGTGAGATTGAGTGAGTCTGGATAAGTGAAGCACTTGACCACACAAAGCTAGGGGAATTGGATGGGTGTTTCATTACTGCTGCTTCATGACCACTGGGATTGGCAGAGAAATCCAGAGTCTGGACAGAAACCTAGGGCAAGAGAGTAGGGGTGGGGACGGTGGTTTGAGAATTAACAGCATTGTTTTGAGTTCCAGCCCTGTTTGCCCACATGTTATGTGTGGATGAGCAGCCAAGACTTAAACCCCAGGAGGTATGGGACAGGCCCCTTCCCTCCCCTGCCAGCCTGCCTCCTTGGCCCAGAGGTTGAAGTCTTCGCCCCTCACCTTTCCCCAAGCTGTCTCAGCCCCTGGAGCAGAGGGTGGAACCACCTAGGAGTACAAAGGGCAGCCAGGCGCACAAGAGGACAACTGCAGCAGCCGCCTTCAGATAGCCAGTGGGACACCAGTGCTTCTGCTTCCTCTGGTGGTTACAGAAGCCAGAGTTTGGCACAGAGCCAGCCAAGAGTGTGCTGTTTCCCGATCTCTCACACTGTCCTAGAGCATCACGGTTACCTCCTGTCACAGTCATCCTGTCACCCACCCACCATCTCACACTCGTATTGTCACACACGGTCATAGCGACTGATACCACTGTGAGATTTGCCCACGAGGTGGAACGTTCACAGTCACACGTGCTCCCATCTATGGATTTATCCCTTATTCCTGCCACGTTGTCGGGACGCCCCGCAAGGGGCAGAACCCTGCAGGTGCGTGGACCAGCTTCCTGGAGCGCACAGTGTGGGGCGGAACCAATAGCCTCACTACGAAGAGCTGAGGCAGTCAGGGAGGACCTCCCCGAAGGGACCAGGCAAGACAAGGGGAGCGGCAGGAGACGTGCAGGAGGGAGCCAGGAATAGGCAGGGGGCTTTGCAGCTCTGCAAAAATTAGGCCGGGGACACCCCAGGGGACGGCCTCTTCTCCGCCCGCCCTCTCCGGAGATTGAAGGAGGAGGAGTCCTTTGGGGGCGGGACCATCCTGAACTCCCGCCGGAGCCCTAGGGCATGCGTGCAGAGCGAGTCCTGGGGGGGCGGGGCGGTGGCGCCTGCCCGGGGGCGGGGTCCCGGTTCTGAGCCTCCAGTAATTCTGCGGAGGCCGGAACCGGAGGCGGGAGGGGCCGCCCGCGCCGACGGCCATAGGAACTGGGACGGCGCTCACTGGTAGTCTTCGGTTTCCGCCCTGCAATCTGGCTCCCGCCACGTGGTGGGCGGACCCGGCGATTCTGAGTCTACGACCTGGCCGGACCTTGAGTCTCAGACACAGTCCAGGGCTGAGAGGCGAGCGCGGGCCAAAGACCAAGAGCGAGCGAGGTGGGGCCCCGGAGAGAGAGAGAGGGAACTGGGGCTCACTGGTTCGAGAGCCGGGCTGTTGGGAGGCATGTTTTGAGGAGGGCGGTTAATATCTGTGTTCAGACCTGGCTCCGCTACTCTATGAGCTGTCTTACCCAGAGCTGTGTGAGCCTCAGCTTTCTCCTCTGTGACATGGACATTTAGAGGCACGAACTTTGTGGGGCTCACCTGGGGATTAGATAATGTGCTGAAAGCGGCCAGCACAGCACTTGAACGAATGGGGCTCCGAAATTGAGTGTCCTCTCCCTTGAAAAGTCCGGGGAATCGCTGTGGGGTGGGGCCGTGTGCAGGAGTACACTGGACCCCAGGGCTGGGAGGGGTAGTTAGCCACTTCCTCTGTCTCCAGCTCAGCTTGTACAGCGCCATGACCAGCAAGGGTCCGGAGGGCGAGCACCCATCTGTGACGCTCTTCCGCAAGTACCTGCGCATCCGAACCGTCCAGCCCAAACCCGACTATGGTGAGAAGGCGGTGGTTCCAAAGCCTGGGGTGGGGCCTAAAGGACAGATACTGTGCTCTGAACTAGCCTCCAGCCCCGGTCACCCAGATAAACCCTACTCTGCTGCCCCAAATGGCTCCTCGACCCCTCTAGCCATTCCCCAGGCCAACCTACTGAGGCAGCGCCTCCAGGCTGTGGAGGAACCATTCCTGCAGATGCTATGCTGCTTGCAAAAGGCTACTCCTGGCAGCTAGTAACGGAGCAGCTTCACCTCACTCCCCAGGTCAGGAGTAGGGGGTGGGGGAAGCAGACTAGGGCAATCACAAGGAAGGAGAGGCTCTCCACAAGCCTGCTGGGACTGGACAAAGGCGTTGGGAATCAAGCTTGGTGGCTGGGAATTGTACATGGGTCCAAATCCCTGCTCAGTGATTTACTAGCTCAGTGATTTATGTTGGGTGAATCTCTTCATGTCTCTGTGGCATAGTTTCCCCGTATTTAAAGAAAATACTAATACCTGCTTCCAGCCCTGGCCTGCCTCCAGTCTTCCACAAAGGGTCACTGGCTAACCAAAAATATCTTCTTTGTTGGGGACAGAAATGCAGCTATCTATGGGGGATGTGGAATTGTGTCAGGGAGGGAGCAGCCCATCTCTGGGTCTGCTCCCCTCTCTGAGCAGCCTGGGCTGTGGGGGGGGGGGGATG